TGGCATTTTTTGCCATTTTGAATACGATGTCACGGAATCCTTCATATTTACTCGCTTCGATAACAAATTTCTTACGAAGCTATCGCTCTGAACTTCTTCAGAGTGGAAAGCTGGAAAAAATTGCAATCACACCAAGGCAATTCAGCAGCATGTCCAGCATGTATACCAGTGGAATAGATCGCGACTTTGATGAAGAGCGATCTGGAATCCGTGTAGTTGACCTGAGAAGCGACACTGTAACCAGACCCAGCAAGGCAATGAGAGAAGCGATGGCTGCTGCAGAAGTGGGTGATGATGTTTATGGAGATGACCCAACAGTGAATGGTTAGAATTTGAACCTATAACACACAATATGCTGTTTTATTTTCTGACGCTGTGTATTTTTGAATGTGTGTTTCTAATTTTGTCTAAGNTTGCATGCCTTGCTGGCCGGCTTGCATATTAGCAACAGTCCTTCTTACCCGGTTTCTCTGGGAAATATTAAAGGTTAAAAGGACTGAAAGGAGTAAAGCAACTTCCATATTTTATATTTTTTTAACTTTGTCTCCTCTCCTCGCTCTCTTTAGTTTAGTTGGGATCAAAGCCATACAAGGTATCCCTAATGGTGTATCTTGTGAGATACAATATTTGAAATCAGTGTTTCAGATAAGAAAGGGGTCTGAATCAACATATTGATAACTGAACTTCTGATGATTTGGTGAAGCTCAAATCTATTAACCACTTGGAATTCCTTATCAATTGACTTCTTGCCCTAAAAATATTATCTCCCTAAAGCCTTATCCAGAGAATAATTTTTTGAGGTCCTTGAATTCAAATCCCGTTTTATTTTTCTCACCAGTCTTACAGGAAAAGGCAGCAGAATTAACTGGTAAAGATGCTGCCCTCTTTGTACCAAGTGGAACAATGGGAAATTTAGCATCAGGTATCATGAATGTTCACCCCTAAGTTTTCCCGTGTTCGGGTAATATATCAAACACGAAAGACCATGTTTGACCACATTTCCAAATACCAAGAAGAGAGTTGAAAATACAATGTACAGCGGAGTATTTTTGTTGAGCTTCAAGGTGTTTGAAAATGTGGTCAAACACTGTCTAGAGCGTTTGATATATCTTCTCAATCAAAACCAAAACTAAGAACAAAACAGAGAAATAAAATTGTAAAAATCTATCCAAACAACATCACAGTCATGATTTCCTTTGTTTAAACTTGTTGAATTATTACTCAGTTTGAGAAATTGATTTGAAATAGTTGCTATTGTTTGTTAACAAGCCACTCATATAAGCAAAGTTTTCCTTGATCTTTCAGTAATGGCACACTGTCCTGGTCGAGGTGATGAGATACTTGTTGGTGACTTGGCACATATCATAATGTGGGAGCAGGGTGGAGTTGCACAAGTGGCTGGTGTACACTCACGACAAGTGCACACCAATCTTGATGGGACTCTGGATTTGT